ACCTCTTGATTCAGTGGAATTTGTTCACCTCTTGATTCAGTGGAATTTGTTCACCTCTTGATTCAGTGGAATTTGTTCACCTCTTGATTCAGTGGAATTTGTTCACCTCTTGATTCAGTGGAATTTGTTCACCTCTTGATTCAGTGGAATTTGTTCACCACTTGATTCAGTGGAATTTGTTCACCTCTTGATTCAGTGGAATTTGTTCACCTCTTGATTCAGTGGAATTTGTTCACCACTTGATTCAGTGAATTTGTTCACCTCTTGATTCAGTGGAATTTGTTCACCTCTTGATTCAGTGGAATTTGTTCACCTCTTGATTCAGTGGAATTTGTTCACCTCTTGATTCAGTGGAATTTGTTCACCACTTGATTCAGTGGAATTTGTTCACCTCTTGATTCAGTGGAATTTGTTCACCTCTTGATTCAGTGGAATTTGTTCACCACTTGATTCAGTGGAATTTGTTCACCTCTTGATTCAGTGGAATTTGTTCACCTCTTGATTCAGTGGAATTTGTTCAGTTCTCTCCTGAAGCTCCACATTAATGATCCTGTTATCTCATTCAATTCTCTGTGTTCTGCGCAGGCACCATTAATGATACATCATCATCATCAATCAGCATGTTCCTTACAGAATGTTGCTCTCGTCACAGCATGCCTGAATGTCTGTCTCTAGCCAGTTCTCCAGCACTATGTGCTTTCATAGCCAGTGCTTGTAAAATTTCTTGTAGCCATCTTAACGGGGGCCTGCCTTTGCCTTGTTTTCCATAAACTGCAACCTACATCAAATAATATTTTACACGTTCTCTGTGTTTCTGATCAGTACCATAGTGCAGATTTGACAACAATGTAAACAAGTTTCAAGTTTAATACTAGGTTTAGCTTTCACATGTGATTTGTCAGAAGAATACCTGGCATTAAGTGGCAAGAAAGGATCACAAAAACTTGAGTGCTGGAAACAGCACAAATCACAACAGTTTTTTCAATGCCCAGTCTACGAAGGCTCAGGTGGCTGTAAATGATGAGAACAATGGTCCTGAAACTCCACAATATAATTGTGAAAGATGATTCTCCTTAAAACTGCGGCCACTTATTATGGAGTACGGCGGAGTTCAGTCCCCTGGCTGCACTGCAATTACGGAGTGGAAGAGAGGGAACGACACAATAGATGTAATTACTGTGTGTTGGTGATAGACAGCGTGAACCGGTGACATTATTACTGTGTGTTGGCGATAGATGCACTGCTGTCATAATAGGGTTAGGGTTTGGGTTAGGGTTAGGGTATTGGTACTCCTGAAAACTACGGCCACTCCTAACTCTACCCCTAACCCTAACCCTATTATAACAGCAGTGCATCTATCGCCAACACACAGTAATTACGTCATTTGTTTCGTTCCCTCTTTTCCACTCCGTAATTGCAATGTCGCCAGGGGACTGAACTCCGGCATACTCCATAATAAGTGGCCGTAGTTTTAAGGAGAACCATGAAAGACTCTTCTTGAAGCAGGTGGGTCTTGCTAGTCACAGTCGCCATTGCCTTGGGCTTTAGGTCCAATGCTTCTTTACAGCCCAATATGACACTACTGTTTAAAAAGATGGAAAGATGCCAAAAACAACACATTTTGTTTAAACTGCTATAGTGTTTTTTCCTGTAGATTTTCTTCATAATCGAGGCCACAGGCTTGGATGTGTATCATCAGAGTAAAGAGTCAAATGTGATAAGTTATATACAAATGTTTACCGACCAATCAGTCTGCACTGATGGTAGAACGGCCTGCATGGTTCTCCTGTAACAACCCTCCTGTTCATTTCTGAAACACTGGATCATATCTCTGGAAAAAAAGTAATAAAAGAAAGCATAGTTCGTAGTGTTCCTGTTCCATATTTTTAACTACATGACCTCTCAAGTCCCTAACTACGACCTCTTGAGGCCATGAATGGGAATTTTTGTCTTTGAATAATAAGGGACCGTGATTCTGAAGAGTGCCGCCCTCTTGTTTTATTACAATTATCTAAATTACACAACTCATAGCCATTGTAGTTTCTGCCATAACTACAACCAAAAACATAAGAACAGGACAATATTTTAAATAAAAATGATACAAATTAAAACAAAATATCCTCCCCGAATATGGGTTCCCGGGCCCCACTGTTTGGAAAACATGAACAAACCCACTGCCTCCTTAACAATCATGTCATAAGAGTCGACTAAATAAGGGTTTATTTTAAAGTCAGAGTGCGTCTGCCTACGAGGCAAGGAACCAACAGTCTGCTTACAAATAATTCAGAGCTGTTAAGCGGATGTGCACACAACACTCAGGTTATGGAACAAGACTAAAGCCCAGAGGTGGACGAACAACCAGAACTTTCCGACAGAGTTTACAGCTGGTGAACGCAATAAAAGACTTGAATGGATGACAGAAATAATTATAACAGCGGTGGCACAGTGAACACACACACACACAGAGAGAGAGAGAGAGAGAGAGAGAGAGAGAGAGAGAGAGAGAGAGAGAGAGAGAGAGAGAGAGAGAGAGAGAGATAAACAGCTGGCTTCCGATCCAACAACCTAACTAACCTTTGCTTAGGAGACAGTATTAACTGATAAGAAGAAATTTTTTTTTGATCAACTGATGTATAATACAGCGTTGTATATACAGAAGCTAGAATTAAAAAACAACTGCAAACTAACTTCTCTGTAAAGCGCTACTATTGTTGTTGACTTAGCAACTGCAACTGAATTGTCTACGGAAACTCGACATCTTGGTTGTCAACAAGCACACGGGTCAAAGGTCACATATACTTGGCAAGGCTTTCAAATCTGTTTGCTAAATATGTTTCTTTCAATATCTTCTTCTTCTTCTTTTCTCTACTCCTTGAATGTCTCTCAAAGTCAGGACAAAAAAGGATCTCTAGAACAGGCCCTTCTTTTCGCTTTGTATATAATACTTTTCAGTGTCTGGTATTTCTGCGGTCCAATTTCTGCGTGGTCTACCTCTGGCTCTGTTACCGTTGTATCTGTATAACATTGCTCTCCGTAGTGCCCTGTCTATAGAATTTTTTCAATTATATAAGCTACAATCCATTCCATTCTATTGTCCTGTTGTGCCATTCAGTATCACTAGCAGTCTATTCCTACATTTCTTTCTTTTATGTGCGAGAGCGATCAGTTCAACATCTAAAACAACAGCTGAAATCACAAGATATATATATATATATATATATATATATATATATATATATGTGTGTGTGTGTGTGTGTGTGTGTGTGTGTGTGTGTGTGTGTCTTCTACGTCTTCTCAACTTCTTTTCTTTGTTCGTGTATCGAGTTGAAGACTGATTGGCTGGATCTGCATCACTGGATGGTGAATCTATACATGTCAGGGCAGATGTGGTCAAAGCCCTTTGGGAACAAGCAACGGAATCAGGAGAAACAAGATTTTTGTGGCCTGGAGAGAATGAGGCACCTGGGTGTAACCAAAGGGTCTGGCCAGCTCACTACACTCAGAGGAAAGGCAAGACGGACATATAACCAGATTGTGACCGGTACCATCAGTACTGGAACTTTGCGCTGGCTACTGAGGATGAGAATGGGGCATATATATGGGAATGCCCCGAGTGCTGTGATGTCAATTCTTGACAACTCAACTCGTGTATCGAGTGAGATATAATAAAGTTAGCTCTTGCTCCTCTGGCCGTCTCGGCCAGGATCTTCTCTAGGTGGTACTTGAGACGGTCTTGTCTCCACAAAGGACACATCGTTCTGTTGTAAAGTTTCTTTATTTTCTTTCAATCTTGTTTTTAGTCCATCTCGTGCTCTGTATTTTGAAGAAGAAGTGGGTTTTCAAGTCTACCAAATAAATGTCTTTTAAGAACATAAGTTAAACTCACAAGATACATATTTAATTGTAGGAAAGTGATAAAAACGGTACATGGTTACATCATTGTCAAATATGATTATGCTCAACCCTACTGTGTGACAAATGTTACGGAACCAGGAAGAGTTCCTTGCACTGAAAAACCGAAAAAAGGGGGGGGGAGGGGGGTTTGTAGAGGGCATGGAAGACATTCAACATTGAGGGAGAAATCGAGGGGAACTTTTAATCAGGTTGTAACCTGTATGAAGATTCTTTGTTGGCTACTGCAGAAAGTGATTAAGCACATGTGCAAGTGTCCCGAGTGCAGCAATGTAAATCCTTGATTCATTCCGGTTAAAATGGACGCTATACAGCGGCGCCGTTCGGAACAGCGGCAAATTTTTTGCTTCTGCCGGACGGTGGCCGATGCATTTTTGCTCCATTTGTAGACTGGATATAGTTTCGTCGCCCAGCTTCTGAGTTGAATGCATGGCGTGACCCTGTGAGCTGCGGATTGCATTTGGAATGTTTTTTTTTCGACTGTGACCAACGTGGTGGTGTGAATTTTAGATTCAGAAAATGGCGCGATGCCTGTCGTTCAATGCTTGCGGGATCCGTATTAAAATTGATCACGCGGACAACTGCTGATCTGTTGACGACAAGTTCTGCTATCATCAATGATGAACTGCATTTCTAATGTTGGACTGTTTGTGTTAGCACTTCGGATGGCTACCATATGCTTTAATGCGAGTGTATGCTAGATATTTGCTGAGACAGCAGTCTGTCAATCTTTCCACAAGGGACTGTGATAGACATTCTGAGTGTTTTTCGCTGGCACAGGAGCGGAGCAAAGATGGGGCAACCCGTTTGCTATGAAGCTGAAACTAAGACTACCAGACTACCAGACTTGATTCATTCATGACATTCAAGTCCTCAAAGTAAGACCATGAGTCAAGAATCCTATCCACCATTTGCAGTTAACCAAGGGAGGGAACTGTCGATGTCGTCTGCCTGTGGGGGGACATTGCCACGACAGAGACCGGGCACCGTCGATACTTCTCAGACCAGACTTGACTGTGTCAGAGACGGTCGACTTATCAACCACAACACTTTTTAAACTCAATCAGTGATACACCCAGGCGGCCACGATGCCTGTAAGTTCATTGTATTTAGGATAAAATGGAACTATTATTTTAATAGTCCAAACCTTCCTCATCAATTCTCGACCTCTTCCCTATGACTTGTGTTTGTGTTTACGTTTGGTTCACACCTACTTCTTACTTCACACTTTTTAAACATAATCATAATTTATTTATCACCTCTCAGCCTTAGGATTACCCCATTGGAAAATGTGTTAAACGGCGTTTTTCGGATTTGCTATTATTTTTTTCTATATACATAATATATTCACAAAAATGCTGTGTTTGAAAGTCAATGAACTTGAACAAAACTAATTAACAAATTGTGCAGTAAATTAAATGTACAAAAATAATTACTGTCTTGATTTCTCCTTTTATTTCTCATGCTGCTCTGGCTGAAAGTTCTAGTTGAATTCTTGAGTTTTGCTTACTTACGCATCTCTTTCACAGATTAGCTTATTTCTAAGCAGACAGTTGGTTCCTTGGCTCTCGAGCAGATGCACTCCAACTTTCAAGGAAACAACCCTAATTAGTCGATTTTTAAGGCATACTGGTTAGGGAGGCAGTGGGTCTTTTTTCTGTCTCTCAAAACGGAACCCCGGAACCCACACGAGACATACCATCATTGAGAGCCAGTAAACAAATAAAACAAGTTCGCAGCTTGAATATGTTTGGCTTTCACCAGTGTCTCTCTTGGCCAGAAGTTTTGCTTTGATATGTTGTATTTGGGACGGTCTTGGAGGACATGATCTGTTGTTTCAGGTGCCAGAACACATGTGAACATGGCTGATTCACCAATCTTTAATTTTGTGTACTTGTGGCTGCAGAGTCTATTGTGTTCTATTTTAAGGCGTAGAATACTAACTTGCTCTGGTCTGTCCATAATATGGTAATTGTCTTGTGCTGGTTTTGGTGGTTTTCTGATTGATTAACTAACAAATGTTTCACATGTTTGTTTCTCCAGCCAAAGGGGAAGCAGGGCACGAAAGGCAAGAAACAAATAGCGGAGGAGAATAAATCAACTCTCAACTTTTATCTCTACATCATCTGTGGTGTCAATGTAAGGGCTGTTATTCCTACATCATCTGTGGTGTCAATGTAAGGGCTGTTATTCCTACATAATCTGTGGTGTCAATGTAAGGGCTGTTATTCCTACATAATCTGTGGTGTCAATTTAAGGGCTGTTATTCCTACATAATCTGTGGTGTCAATGTAAGGGCTGTTATTCCTACATCATCTGTGGTGTCAGTGTAAGGGCTGTTATTCCTACATCATCTGTGGTGTCAATGTAAGGGCTGTTATTCCTACATCATCTGTGGTGTCAATGTGAGGGCTGTTATTCCTACATAATCTGCTGTGTCAATGTAAGGGCTGTTATTCCTACATAATCTGTGGTGTCAATGTAAGGGCTTTTATTCCTACACAATCTGTGGTGTCAATGTAAGGGCTGTTATTCCTACATAATCTGCTGTGTCAATGTAAGGGCTGTTATTCCTACATAATCTGTGGTGTCAATGTAAGGGCTGTTATTCCTACATCATCTGTGGTGTCAATGTAAGGGCTGTTATTCCTACATAATCTGTGGGGTCAATGTAAGGGCTGTTATTCCTACATCATCTGTGGTGTCAATGTAAGGGCTGTTATTCCTACATAATCTGTGGTGTCAATGTAAGGGGCTGTTATTCCTACATAATCTGTGGTGTCAATGTAAGGGCTGTTATTCCTACATCATCTGTGGTGTCAATGTAAGGGCTGTTATTCCTACATCATCTGTGGTGTCAATGTAAGGGCTGTTATTCCTACATCATCTGTGGTGTCAATGTAAGGGCTGTTATTCCTACATAATCTGTGGTGTCAATGTAAGGGCTGTTATTCCTACATAATCTGTGGTGTCAATTTAAGGGCTGTTATTCCTACATAATCTGTGGTGTCAGTGTAAGGGCTGTTATTCCTACATCATCTGTGGTGTCAGTGTAAGGGCTGTTATTCCTACATCATCTGTGGTGTCAGTGTAAGGGCTGTTATTCCTACATCATCTGTGGTGTCAATGTAAGGGCTGTTATTCCTACATAATCTGCTGTGTCAATGTAAGGGCTGTTATTCCTACATAATCTGTGGTGTCAATGTAAGGGCTGTTATTCCTACACAATCTGTGGTGTCAATGTAAGGGCTGTTATTCCTACATAATCTGCTGTGTCAATGTAAGGGCTGTTATTCCTACATAATCTGTGGTGTCAATGTAAGGGCTGTTATTCCTACATCATCTGTGGTGTCAATGTAAGGGCTGTTATTCCTACATAATCTGTGGGGTCAATGTAAGGGCTGTTATTCCTACATCATCTGTGGTGTCAATGTAAGGGCTGTTATTCCTACATAATCTGTGGTGTCAATGTAAGGGCTGTTATTCCTACATAATCTGTGGTGTCAATTTAAGGGCTGTTATTCCTACATAATCTGTGGTGTCAATGTAAGGGCTGTTATTCCTACATAATCTGTGGTGTCAATGTAAGGGCTGTTATTCCTACATAATCTGTGGTGTCAATGTAAGGGCTGTTATTCCTACATAATCTGTGGTGTCAATGTAAGGGCTGTTATCTCTACATCATCTGTGGTGTCAATGTAAGGGCTGTTATTCCTACATCTGTCTGTAAAGGGCTGTCAATGTAAGGGCTGTTATTCCTACATCATCTGTGGTGTCAATGTAAGGGCTGTTATTCCTACATAATCTGTGGTGTCAATGTAAGGGCTGTTATTCCTACATAATCTGTGGTGTCAATGTAAGGGCTGTTATTCCTACATAATCTGTGGTGTCAATGTAAGGGCTGTTATTCCTACATCATCTGTGGTGTCAATGTAAGGGCTGTTATTCCTACATCATCTGTGGTGTCAATGTAAGGGCTGTTATTCCTACATAATCTGTGGTGTCAATGTAAGGCTGTTTATTCCTACATAATCTGTGGTGTCAATGTAAGGGCTGTTATTCCTACATCATCTGTTGTGTCACTGTAAGGTGTCACTGTAAGGGCTGTTATTCCTACATAATCTGTGGTGTCAATGTAAGGGCTGTTATTCCTACATCATCTGTTGTGTCACTGTAAGGACTGTTATTCCTACATCATCTGTTGTGTCACTGTAAGGACTGTTATTCCTACATCAACTGTTGTGTCACTGTAAGGGCTGTTATTCCTACATCATCTGTTGTGTCACTGTAAGGACTGTTATTCCTACATAATCTGCTGTGTCAGTGTAAGGGCTGTTATTCCTACATAATCTGTTGTGTCAGTGTAAGGGCTGTTATTCCGACATAATCTGTTGTGTAAGTGTAAGATCTATTAACCCTACATAATCTGTTGTGTCAGTGTAAGAACTGTTATTCTGACATAATATTTGTGTAAGTGTAAGATCTGTTAACCCTACATAATCTGTTGTGTCAGTGTAAGGGCTGTTATTCCGACATAATCTGTTGTGAAAGTGTAAGATCTGTTAACCCTACATAATCTGTGGTATCAATGCCAGAACTTACGTCTTCACATAATCTTGTCTCTTCTTCCTTTCAACTATAGGTCTTTCTACCTGTCTACTTTGTGTTTTTTTCCTATCTTGATATTCATATTATCAACATAACATGTTTTGTAGATAAAATACAATAGCTGTGTGAAAGATTGAATGTTTGCAAGGGCTGATTATAAGAAAGGCCTGAGTACAAAAATTGTGTCCCTTGAAAAAACAAAGTTAGTTCTTTTGGTCTTTCCTTTGCCGTTATCCAACTCCAAGATGTGTTGTACACCTATTTGGGCAGTAACGAAGATAGAGATGAGGGAACTGATTGAGAAATAAAAATACAAAAGCAAGAGGAGCTTTTATAGGGTTAGAGAATTTGTGGAGGTCAAAATAAATACAACTAAACTTAACATTTGTAATTCTAATATCAAATCGGTACTTTTGTATGGAGCGGAAACATGGAGAACAACTAAGGCAATTACTAATAAACTGCAAACATTTATTAACTGGTGCCTGCGCAGAATTGACGAAATAGAATGGTATGGTAGAATAAATAATATAGAACATTTGGAAAAAACTAAACAAGTTCCAGTGGACCAAGAAGTGAAGAAAAGATGCTAGCGTTGCATAGGACACACATTGAGAAAACCTGAGAATAATATAACTAGGATGTCTTTGCAGTTGAACCCACAGGGGCATAGAAATAAAGGAAGACCAAAGAAACACTTGGAGAAGGGAGCTAGAGAGTGAAGTTAACAAGATGGGGAGGACACGAGGAGAGCTGCAGGCGATGGCAAAGGATAGAATGACTTGATGTGAGTTGGTTGAGGGCTTATGCTCCACTGGGGACTAGAAAGGCAGAAGAAAAGAAAGAAGAAGATGGAGACACAGTCCTAGAAGTCAGCTTAGGCTAGGCTTCCTTATCTTTTAAAACTCACTCCTTGTCCTCCGAATAATTTTAATTCATGCTCAGATTCTCCTCTCCATGCGCTTTAGGATTCCCCGAACTTCTGTTGCCCTGTGGGTTCTAATGTGATCTATCTGTCATCACTAGCATCTTTGTTCTCATCTTTTGAGTCACTCAAGTTATTTAGCTCTCTCCAAAAGCTCCACACTGCTCTATTGTTATACCATTATTGTTTATCAAGAGGCAATAATAATTATTTTTTAGAATTATTTGAAAAGAAAAATGACGAGGATGGAGTATCTTGTGTCTGTGTAACATTCATATATCAATTTGTCAGAGTATCTTGTTTTTATCTAACATTCATGTATCCATATGTCGGAGTATCATGTGTCTGTGTAACATTCATGTATACATTTACTAGAGCTTAGAGTATCTTGTTTCTATGTGACATGCTTGTATCCATTTGCCAGAGTATCTTGTTTCTATCTTATTTCTATAGGATCTTGTTTCATACATACTTGTCATCCATACTTGTCAGAGTCAGAGTATATTGTTTCTATGGACATACTTGTATCTTGTTTTTCTATGTGACATGCTTGTATCCATTTGTCAGAGTATCTTGTTTCTATGTGATATACTTGTATCCATTTGTATCCAAAGTATCTTGTTTCTATGTGACATGCTTTTTATCCATTTGCCATATCTTGTTTCTACTTGTATCCATTTGCCAGAGTTTCTATCTTTGTTTCTATCTTGTTCTATGTGACATACTTGTATCCATTTGTCAGAGTATCTTGTTTCTATGTGATATACTTGTATCCATTTGCCAAAGTATCTTGTTTCTATGTGATATACTTGTATCCATTTGCCAGAGTATCTTGTTTCTATGTGACATACTTGTATCCATTTGCCAGAGTATCTTGTTTCTATGTGATATACTTGTATCCATTTGCCAGAGTATCTGACATGTTGTATCCATTGCTATATGACATACTTGTAATCCATTTGTCAGAGTATCTTGTTTCTATGTGAATACTTGTATCCATTTTGATATCTTGTTTCTATATGACATACTTGTATTGCCAAAGTATCTGTGCTATCCCATTTGTCAGAGTATCTTGTTTCTATGTGACATACTTGTATCCATTTGTCAGAGTATCTTGTTTCTATATGACATACTTGTATCCATTTGCCAGAGCTCAGTAATTGACAATGATGTTGTTATCTGACAGGTGGTCTACTATGCATTGTGGTACTTCCTGTTCTGGGATGCATTCACAACGGGGCCGGTGGTAAGTTTGCCTCCCTCTGCTAGCCAGGCTGGTCATCTAGTTGGTTAGTCCATGTCACTTGTATAAACCAACATTGTATTGTGTGTGTCACATGTAAGGACATGTATAATGATACTACAAAGCTCAGCAATGGTTATTTTGAGAATCATTTTGAAACAGATAAATTACTATATAACAAACACTTTCAGATAGTTTTAAATATAACAGTGTGGATAGAATGATCATACATTGCAATACAGTGGGGTGAAATGTTACATACACAGGCACAAAAAGACTGAGCCTTTTTGGGGATAAAACCCAGTGTTGCAGAAAAAAATCTCACGTAAAGCAACATTTTATTAGTAATATACTTATGAGATACAAAAGTCCAGGAACGCTAACCCCGGCAACAAATGCTTGAAGTCGTATGTGTTGGCCACAAAGGTGCAGATGTCGCAGCCATGATGTAGATCTGCACAGCACATGTACGTCTTCTGATGAACACAGAAGAAGACGATACCAGACTGTACAAACACTTGTGCCATTTTGGTGCCAAAGTTTACATTTGATTCATTTATCCTCAGCTACTGTCCGCCTTTTCTGCGACAATATACTTTGGCAGCTACCAATTCATGGCCAGGATGGGAAAGTCTGTCTACCGCGAAGGCCAGCTCGTGGACTCTGGCGTTGATCTCAATATGGAATCTGGCATGGCAGAGTAAGTCCAGAGACTATTTGAAATCTGTAGACATTTTTGTTTTTCCTACTCTTCTCTTCCTCTTTTTATCTCCCAATGTTCCGGAACTTAGACGCTCAAACAATGCAGGCAAGACCGTCCCATCTTTTGCTGTTGCCAACAGCTCACTTAATGTCCTTTCCATCTTTTGCTGTTGCCAACAGCTCACCTAATGTCCTTTCCATCTTTTGCTGTTGCCAACAGCTCACCGGATGTCCTTTCCATCTTTTGCTGTTGCCAACAGCTCACCTGATGTCCTTTCCATCTTTTGCTGTTGCCAACAGCTCACCTAATGTCCTTTCCATCTTTTGCTGTTGCCAACAGCTCACCGGATGTCCTTTCCATCTTTTGCTGTTGCCAACAGCTCACCGGATGTCCTTCCCATCTTTTGCTGTTGCCAACAGCTCACCTAATGTCCTTCCCATCTTTTTCTGTTGCCAACAGCTCACCGGATGTCCTTTCCATCTTTTGCTGTTGCCAACAGCTCACCGGATGTCCTTCCCATCTTTTGCTGTTGCCAACAGCTCACCTGATGTCCTTCCCATCTTTTGCTGTTGCCAACAGCTCACCTCATGTCCTTCCCATCTTTTGCTGTTGCCAACAGCTCACCTGATGTCCTTCCCATCTTTTGCTGTTGCCAACAGCTCACCTCATGTCCTTCCCATCTTTTGCTGTTGCCAACAGCTCACCGGATGTCCTTCCCATCTTTTGCTGTTGCCAACAGCTCACCTCATGTCCTTCCCATCTTTTGCTGTTGCCAACAGCTCACCTGATGTCCTTCCCATCTTTTGCTGTTGCCAACAGCTCACCTGATGTCCTTCCCATCTTTTGCTGTTGCCAACAGCTCACCTGATGTCCTTCCCATCTTTTGCTGTTGCCAACAGCTCACCGGATGTCCTTCCCATCTTTTGCTGTTGCCAACAGCTCACCTCATGTCCTTCCCATCTTTTGCTGTTGCCAACAGCTCACCTACATTTCACACGATTTTTTTAAAAAGTTAACTCTGTTTCACATGTTTTTGTTGATGATGTAGACATAAATAGTCCATTCCAATTGATTTTATTGATGCTGCTAGAAACAAATGATTTCTCATGATTTGTTGATGATGTAGACATAAATAGTCTATTCCAATTGATTTTATTGATGCTGCTAGAAACAAATGATTTCTCATGATTTGTTGATGATGTAGACATAAATAGTCCATTCCAATTGATTTTATTGATGCTGCTAGAAACAAATGATTTCTCATGATTTGTTGATGATGTAGACATAAATAGTCCATTCCAATTGATTTTATTGATGCTGCTAGAAACAAATGATTTCTCATGATTTGTTGATGATGTAGACATAAATAGTCCATTCCAATTGATTTTATTGATGCTGCTAGAAACAAATGATTTGTTGATGATGTAGACATAAATAGTCCATTCCAATTGATTTTATTGATGCTGCTAGAAACAAATGATTTGTTGATGATGTAGACATAAGTGGTTTATTTCACATGGTTTTGTTGGTGCTGCTAGAAACAAATTGTTTCCTTTGTTCACAGACACACTAAAGACCTGATTTTACTCACTGCCATTGTGCAGACATGCTCCCTGTTGTCCGGCTACTTCTGGCTGTTTTTATTGCTTGTAAGTAGAGTATCTCAGCCATCATCGTCTTAATCTCTGTGTTTTATGTTAACTTTTACATCTTTCATTTGCTTGAAATAGGTTATCGATGTCTGCAATGTTGTCTCTAGTATGAACGTCATTGTCTTTTGTAAGTCACTCAGCAACCCCAATTTTACTGTTACATTCTGTGGTCATTTTGGTGTTTACATTTATATTTTCTTTGTTCAGTTTATTGTTTGCATTTTGATGTTCACTTTAATGATTACATTTCTGTAATAGCTAGATTTCTATTTTCACCTTACTGGTTTCATATCTGTCATCACTTTGCCACCTACATTTATGTGTTCTCTGTACTGGTTACATTTCTGTGATCTTTGTTCTCTCTACCCATTTTGTGTCTGTGTTCAACTTACTGGTTACATATCTAAAATCACTATACTGCCTACATTTATGGCTTCTCTGAACTAGTTACATTTCTGTGATCTTTGTTCTCTTTACCGGTTTTGTGTCTGTGTTCACTTTATTGGTTAAATGTCTGTGTTCTTTGTCCAGTGACCACCTAGATTTCTGTGTTATTTGTCCATTGACCACCTAGATTTCTGTGTTATTTGTCCATCGGCCACCTAGATTTCTGTGTTTTTTTTTCATTGACCACCTAAATTTCTGTGTTCTTTGTCCATTGACCACCTAGATTTCTGTGTCCTGTGTCCATTGACGACCTAGATTTCTGTGTTTTTTGTCTATTGACCACCTAGATTTCTGTGTTTTTTGTCCATTGACCACCAATTTTACTGTTACATTCTGTGGTCATTTTGGTGTTTACATTTATATTTTCTTTGTTCAGTTTATTGTTTGCATTTTGATGTTCACTTTAATGATTACATTTCTGTAATAGCTAGATTTCTATTTTCACCTTACTGGTTTCATATCTGTCATCACTTTGCCACCTACATTTATGTGTTCTCTGTACTGGTTACATTTCTGTGATCTTTGTTCTCTCTACCCATTTTGTGTCTGTGTTCAACTTACTGGTTACATATCTAAAATCACTATACTGCCTACATTTATGGCTTCTCTGAACTAGTTACATTTCTGTGATCTTTGTTCTCTTTACCGGTTTTGTGTCTGTGTTCACTTTATTGGTTAAATGTCTGTGTTCTTTGTCCATTGACCACCTAGATTTCTGTGTTATTTGTCCATTGACCACCTAGATTTCTGTGTTATTTGTCCATCGGCCACCTAGATTTCTGTGTTTTTTTTTCATTGACCACCTAAATTTCTGTGTTCTTTGTCCATTGACCACCTAGATTTCTGTGTCCTGTGTACATTGACGACCTAGATTTCTGTGTTTTTTGTCTATTGACCACCTAGATTTATGTGTTTTTTGTCCATTGACCACCTAGATTTCTGTGTTCTTTGTCCATACACCACCTAGATTTCTGTGTCTTTTGTCCATTGACCACCTAGATTTCTGTGTCTTTTGTCCATTGACCACCTAGATTTCTGTGTCTTTTGTCCATTGACCACCTAGATTTCTGTGTTATTTGTGATACCATTGTTTACTCTACAGGCTCCTGCCCGGCTGTTTTTTGTCCATTGACCACCTAGATTTCTGTGTTTTTTGTCCATTGACCACCTAGATTTATGTGTCCTTTGTCCATTGACGACCTAGATTTCTGTGTTACTTGTTCCATTGACCACCTAGATTTCTGTGTTTTTTGTCCATTGCCCCCCCCCCCCCCCCCCATTGACCACCTAGATTTTTGTTTTAGTTCCATTGACCACCTAGATTTCTGTGTCCCCCCCCCCTCCCCATTGACCACCTAGATTTCTGTGTTTTTTGTCCATTGACCACCTAGATTTCTGTGTCTTTTGTCCATTGACCACCTAGATTTCTGTGTTTTTTGTTCCATTAACCACCTAGATTTCTGTGTTATTTGTCCATTGACCGCCTAGATTTTTGTTTTTGTTCCATTAACCACCTAGATTTCTGTGTTATTTGTCCATCGACCACCTAGATTTCTGTGTTTTTTTCCCCATTAACCACCTAGATTTCTGTGTTTTTTTTTTGTCCATTGACCACCTAGATTTCTGTGGGTTTTTTTGTCAATTGACCACCTAGATTTCTGTTCTTTGTCCATTGACCACCTAGATTTTTGTTTTTGTTCCATTGACCACCTAGATTTCTGTGTTCTTTGTCCATCGACCACCTAGATTTCTGTGTTATTTGTCCATTGACCACCTAGATTTTTGTTTTTGTTCCATTGACCACCTAGATTTCTGTGTTCTTTATCCATTAACCACCTAGATTTCTGTGTTATTTGTCCATTGACCACCTAGATTTCTGTGTCCCCCCCCCCCCCCCCCCCATTAACCACCTAGATTTTTGTGTTCTTTATCCATTGACCACCTAGATTTCTGTGTTATTTGTCCATTGACCACCTAGATTTCTGTGTTCTTTATCCATTGACCACCTAGATTTCTGTGTTATTTGTCCATTGACCACCTAGATTTCTGTGTTCTTTGTCCATTGACCACCTAGATTTCTGTGTTCTTTGTCCATTGACCACCTAGATTTCTGTGTTCTTTGTCCATTGACCACCTAGATTTCTGTGTTTTTTTGTCCATTGACCACCTAGATTTCTGTGTTCTTTGTCCATTGACCACCTAGATTTCTGTGTTTTTTGTCCATTGACCACCTAGATTTCTGTGTTCTTTGTCCATTGACCACCTAGATTTTTGTTTTCTTTGTCAATTGACCACCTAGATTTCTTTGTCCATTGACCACCTAGATTTCTGTGTTCTTTGTCCATTGACCACCTAGATTTCTGTGTTCTTTATCCATTAACCACCTAGATTTCTGTGTTCTTTGTCCATTGACCACCTAGATTTCTGTGTTCTTTGTCCATTGACCACCTAGATTTCTGTGTTTATTGTGATACCATTGTTTACTCTACAGGCTCCTGCCCGGCTGTTTTACATGCTGTGGGTGAATTTTATAGGCCCATGGTTTTTCTCTTCGGCCGAGCCACAGCAGGTGGATGAGAAAAAGCAGAAAAAGATGGAAAGAAAGATGAAACGGCAGCAAGTTTATAGATGAGACTTTTATGTGCTAGTTGCAATATTTGAGATGTCTAGAGTATGTTTTCATGAAATCAAACTTCCACGGGTAGGATGTACTATGTTAGTGACACCATTCCCATTGCTGATAGTGAGACTTTTATTGTGTAGACGGACGATTCTTCTCTAAATATATTTTTGTTCTAATTCTACAACATTTCTGTAAGAAACTTGAAAATAATGTATGGGACTGTGGTTCTTGTATGATTTAGCAGCAGTTTTCTGTACACCCCCCCCCCCCCCCCCCCCCGGTTTAAATTGTATGTTTAGATCACATTTATAGCTTGTGTGATTGCGATCACATTTATAGCTCTGTGTGATTGCTTGTGATCACATTTATAGTTCTACTTTGTGTGATTGCTTGTGATCACATTTATAGCTTATGTGTGTGTGATTGCTTGTGATCACATTAGTGTGTGTGATTGCATGTGATCACATCTATAGCTCATGTGTGTGTGATTGTGATCACATCTATAGCTCATGTGTGTGATTGTGATCACATCTATAGCTCATGTGTGTGTGTGATTGTGATCACATCTATAGCTCATGTGTGTGTGTGTGATTGTGATCACATCTATAGTTCATGTGTGTGTGTGATTGTTTGTGATCACATTTATAGCTCTAGTGTGTGTGATTGCATGTGATCACATCTATAGCTCATGTGTGTGTGATTGTGATCACATCTATAGCTCATGTGTGTGATTGTGATCACATCTATAGCTCATGTGTGTGTGTGATTGTGATCACATCTATAGCTCATGTGTGTGTGTGATTGTGATCACATCTATAGCTCATGTGTGTGTGATTGCTTGTGATCACATTTATAGCTCATGTGTGTGTGATTGCATGTGATCACATTTATAGCTCATGTGTGTGTGATTGCATGTGATCACATCTATAGCTCATGTGTGTGTGATTGCTTGTGATCACATTTATAGCTCATGTGTGTGATTGCTTGTGATCACATCTATAGCTTATGTGTGTGTGATTGCTTGTGATCACATCTATAGCTCATGTGTGTGTGATTGCATGTGATCACATCTATAGCTCGTGTGTGTGTGATTGTGATCACATTTATAGCTCATGTGTGTGTGATTGCTTGTGATCACATTTATAGCTCATGTGTGTGTGATTGCATGTGATCACATCTATAGCTCATGTGTGTGTGATTGCTTGTGATCACATTTATAGCTCATGTGTGTGTGATTGCTTGTGATCACATCTATAGCTTATGTGGGTGTGATTGCTTGTGATCACATCTATAGCTCATGTGTGTGTGATTGCATGTGATCACATCTATAGCTCATGTGTGTGTGATTGCATGTGATCACATCTATAGCTCATGTGTGTGTGATTGCTTGTGATCACATCTATAGCTCATGTGTGTGTGATTGCTTGTGATCACATTTATAGCTCATGTGTGTGTGATTGCTTGTGATCACATCTATAGCTCGTGTGTGTGTGATTGTGATCACATCTATAGCTCAAGTGTGTGTGATTGCTTGTGATCACATTTATAGCTCATGTGTGTGTGATTGCATGTGATCACATCTATAGCTCATGTGTGTGTGATTGCTTGTGATCACATTTATAGCTCATGTGTGTGTGATTGCTTGTGATCACATCTATAGCTTATGTGTGTGTGATTGCTTGTGATCACATCTATAGCTCATGTGTGTGTGATTGCATGTGATCACATCTATAGCTCATGTGTGTGTGATTGCTTGTGATCACATTTATAGCTCTAGTGTGTGTGATTGTGATCACATCTATAGCTCATGTGTGTGTGATTGCTTGTGATCACATCTATAGCTCATGTGTGTGTGATTGCTTGTGATCACATTTATAGCTCTAGTGTGTGTGTGATTGCATGTGATCACATCTATAGCTCATGTGTG